GTTAATTTGAGAAATGTTCTGAAGAAAGCAATGAACATTGGCTGACTGGATGTGGCATTGGGATAAGGAGGGAAAAGGATGTAGCCAAAATGGCACCAGAGTTTTCAACTTAGATGACAGAAAAATGGCAAGATCTAGAGCAGTCAGGAGGGGAGGTCATTTGGGGAAAGAAGACAATGAGCACCATTTTCTACTTGTTGAGTTTCAGATGACATTGGCATATCTAAGTGGAAGTTCATCTCTCTGTAGATCAGGTCAAATTTTTGTTTGAAAGATCTGTGACTATTTTCAGGGCCGAAGTCTGCCTCAGACTTATCCATAAAGGCCTAAGGAGCTGCTTGAGGCACAGGCATATAACTAGTTAATAGCACCCTGTCCACGAAGCCAAACTGCCTTTATTCCTTTAGTGACACCACATTCTAATCACTGATGAAGACACACAGCTTTCTAAAGGTAGGAGGCCTTTGTAACCTAGCAACCTCTACATCTACAGCAGATGTAAGACCTAGGGGGTGATGAGATAATTGTCCTCAGGTAGCTAAAAGGCTGTCACATAGAACAAAGATTCCTTCTATTGTTCTAGAAGGCAAAGGACCAATGTGATATAAATTACAAAGAGGTAAATTTCAGTTCAACATAAGACAATGCTAGCTACCAATTAGTTAGCTAGGTCAGAGCATTGGACTATTCCGAGTCAAGAAAACCTGAGTCTGCCCTGAGCAAGTCACTTAGCCTGTCTGCCTCAGTTTCCTCATCTGTAAAATGGGGATAGTAATAGCATCTACCTTCCAGGGTTGTTGTGAGGATAAAATAAATTTATATTTGTCGAGTACTGTTCAAACCTTAAAAGTATAACATAAATGCTAGCTATTATTATTTTTTTGGACATTGCAATATAAGAATTTGTTTTCCTTGAATATGCAAAAAAATCTGCAAAAAAAAAAAAGGGTTTTGTTTTTCTTCAGGGGGATGAGGAGAGAAGATAAATGCCAGTTAATTGAAAAAAAAAAATTTAAACATAGTACTGGCTAGAAACTTTCCAAATACACCAAAATGTTTATAGCAGCACTTGTTGTAGTAACGACTGGAACAAACCCAATGCCTGTCGACTGCGGAATGACTAAACAAGTAGTGCTGTAAAAAATGACAAATGTAAAGAATTCAGAAAATAACAGAAAGCCTGATAAGAAGTAATGTCCTTCCTTTTATGTTTATCCATTGTAAGGTATATCTACCTAGGTAGGGGATATGTTAAGAAATGAAGGTTATATAATCAACAGAGGGTACCTTTTCTCTGTTGACATACAAAGACAGATCAATAGCTAGAGGGATATAGGCATATCCATATCTATCTTATTTGTACATGTTGCTTGCATGTTATGTCCCTCAGACTGAGAGTTCCTCGAGGGCAGGGGCTATCTTTTGTATCGCCAGTGGTTGGCAGTGCCTGGCACGTGCACGTACACACACCTACCCACCCACACCCACACCCACACAATCAATAAAATTTCTTTAAAGAATATATAACACAGAACCAAGAAAACATTATATATACAGTAACAGCAATATTGTTCAAAGAATAATTGTGAACAACCAAGTTATTCTGAATATAACAGTTTCTCAAATAAACTACAAAGGATCCATGAAAGAAGATGCTATCCACCTCCAGAGAAAAAACTGATAAATACTAGTATGCATAGTATGGTTTCACATACATACATATATACATATCCATTTGTGTGGGGTGGGGAGGGTGGGAGATAGTTCAGAACTTAAAATGTAACAAAAAAATAAATTAAATCAAATTAAAAAAGAATAAAAGAAAAATACATAATGTTTAAAAGGTACTATAAGTAGGATGAGTATCAAACAATTAATGACAATGAATTTATTAAATTCCTGTTATGTGCTAGGTGCCACATTAAGTACTGGAAAATTAAGAAATAGAGAAAAGTCACTGCCTGTAAGGACCTTGAATTCTAATACGGGAGACAACATGTACACGGTATACATAAAATGCCAAGATGGATAATGAGCTCCCTGTCACTGAAGATATCCAAAAAAGAATCCCTGTTAGCAATGAAAAAAAGAATCTTCTACTGGATTGGCTTAGATAGCCCTGCCCCTAAAGATCTCTTCGAACTCTAGGTCTCTTCACCTACTTCTGTCTTTTCTTTTTCCCCCCTTTCAGAAATGCTACAATTAGACTTTATCCCCTATCTGGAAAATACAAGCCCACACCCAATGTCCTCTGACTCAGAGACCTGAATGTACTATATTTACTCACTTGTCCTGACTTCTGTCCTCAAACCAGTTGGGTGGCTTAGCTGATAGAACCAACTGGACTTGGAGTCAAGAAGACCTGAGTTCATATCAATCTCAGACTCATACCAGCTGTGTGACTATAGGCAAGTCACTTAATCTCTCTGCCTCGGTTTATTTTATCTGTAAATGGGGATATAACAGTACTTTATTCAAAGGGTCATTGTGAGAATCAAATGCAGTATTTCAGGTGCTTTGAAAAAACTTAAAGTGGTATATATATATGGCTATTATTATTATGACATCACAATTAAAGACAGATTCTATTAAGGTTTCAATTACACGGATTACTAGTTTTATTCTAGATATACAATACACAATAGGGCTTTGAAAAGTCAATAATCAATACCCAGAATATTTTTCCCCTTGTCCCAAACCTCAGCTTCTCAAGTGATAGAAATTATATGTAGTATATGTGTGTATATATATATATATATATCTACATATGTATCTAAATATGTAGCTGTCTATCCATCCACCATCTATCAATAGATCATATATCTATTCATCTATCTTTCCCCTGATTTGTGTCTGCCAGAAATTACTTTTTATTAGCTTTTTAAATACTAAATTCACATCCCTATTTCAGAAAATTGATCAGTTCCTCTCTCCACTCTTACCCCCTTTATGAGCAATATGATCCAGGGACAAAGAAGACCTCAAAGGTTGCTGATTCAAAGTTGCCTCAAAGTAAATTTTGCTTTATAGGATCACAAAGCTCCAGTCAGAACAGATTTTCTAGCCCAGACTCATTTTAGAGAAGAGGAAACCAGTGAGTCAGGTAGAAGAAACTGATCTGGTGTGGGTACTGAGGCCAGATGTACCCAAATGAAATGATGCATATAAAGAGCTTTTTAAACCTCATGAGAAATGTAAGCTCCTAGAAGGCAGGGGCTATTTCAATTTTGCCTTTGTATCCCCAGCCCTGGCACCCTGGAGAGTTGGCCTGGGAGTCAGGGGAATCTGAATTCGAATTTGGCCTCAGACATATACCTGCCTTAAGCAAGTCACAAACCCCAGGGCTGTAGGGTGGTAATAATAATAATAATAATAATAATAATAATAATAATAATTTTATATAGCACTTACTCTGTGCCAGGCACTGTGCTAAGTGCTATAAAATCATTATCTCATTTGATCCTCACAGCAACTCTGGGAGATAGGTACTACTGTTATCTCCATTTAACAGATGAAGAAACCGAGGCACACACAGGTGAAGTGAATTTGCCCAGGGTCACACGGCTAGTAAGTGTCTGAGGCTGCATTTGAACTCAGGACTTCCTGACTCCAGATTCAGAACTCTACTGAGCATAAATTGAAAAGAAGGTGCTAACCTGCACCAGTAAAGGGAGTTCACTTATCTGAGAATTTCTTGTATCAATAAAATCAGAGGTCCACCCCCTCTCTCCAGCCCCAAGCACCGTGCCTGGTACATAGTAAGTTTTTCTTATAAATGCTTGTGCGTGACTAATATAAAAGTTGTTGTTGCTGTTATTCAGTGAGAGTAAGTTTGACTACTTGTATCAGTCACATAATGGCAGTTAACACTTTGCAAGATTACAGTGTTGTCCAAGCCGAAGGGAGGGTAAAGATCTCTTAACTGTTAATAAGGCAGAAAACCTATAACCCCTTTTCCTCTTTGCAGGAGGGAGGGCACGGCATTTTCTCGGAGTGAAATGCAACAATTCCGTTTCCCTGATGAAAGAGTCTTGGGTGGGCATTGTGTCCCACGGTCCGGGGTGGGAGCACGGTACCAACACCGGCGGCCCGCGAGATGCTCCAGATGGGAGCGCGGTGACACCTCTGACCTAATTTAGTTCCTGTGGCTGACACACCCACGCACCGACGACACACTGCCACAAGCGGACGCACGCACCCCCCCCCTCCCCACGCCGCTACTTGCTCCCGTTTTCAGGGCCCGGGGTACCCAGCGCCAACAGGCCGACGAGGCGCAGCGCAACAAAGGCGCCCGGAGTCATGTTCTCGGGAATTCGCAATCAGAAAACGCGTCTCGGCCAGGATCCCGGTCGCCTAGGGCCGGCCCAAAGCCTTCCCGAGAGCACCGGCTCCCCGGGGCCTCCCACCTGAAAGCGCTCTGTAAACGTCAGCTCACTGCGTGGGCGGGCACCCACCACCATCCCCATCCAATCCACCAAACATGTATCAAGCGCCCATACGTGCAGGGCACAAAGACAAAAACAAAACGGCCTCTGCCCCAAGAAGCTTATATTCCACTAGTGGCTACAAGAAACACACACATAAATAAAATGCACTATTTTTTTTAAGAGGGGGAAACCACTAAAAGCTAGGAGACGGCCTCTCGGGGATTACTGTACTTTAAGGCGGGGGGGAGCCGTGAAAAGGAGAGAAACGCAGTTCCCCAGAACGTGGGCCGATCTCAGGCTCAGAAAAGAGCAGCAGTCTGCGAGGCGCCCCGGCGCTGGCCCCTTCGGTCAGGGCTGGGCAGAGCTCGGGTGGCGTAAGGGGGGTGGGGTGGGGTGGGGTGGGGTGGGGGGGGACTACGGCCTCGGCCTCGTCCGAAAGACCAGTTTCCCTGACCCGGGGAGGTCCGCAGCAAAGCAGCCGGGGCCGCGAGGCGCCCGACGGGTTCCCGGGGCGCCAGCACTTTGCACCCATGCCCCTGCGCCTTCTTTCGCCCGGGGCGCGCACTTACGTACCCCACGATGGAGATCACTATGGCCGCGAGCACCATGTAGTTGGTCTGGTAGTAGAGCAGGTTGCTGACCACTCGGTTGTTCCATTTGGAAATGTCCCTGAAGTCGGGGCGCGCGAAGCGGTCGGAGCCCGGGAAGAAGTCGTCCCAGGCGCGGAGCGGGGGGACTTGGAAGTCCATGGTGGCTGGAGCTCGGGCTGCGGCTGAGACGGGGACTCGGCGATCCGGGGACTCGGCGATCCGGGGCGGCGGGCACGGGTCAGCTGAGCCAGCAGGGTTAAAGCACAGGCGCCGGGCTTGGGCTGCGCCGGGCTTGGGCTGCGTCGGCTCTGTGGTTGGCGAGCCCAGAGAACGGAGTGCGCGGAAGCGGGAGGGCGGGTTTCTGTCCTGGCCTCTCGGCTTTAAGTTGTCTTGTTGGCTAGTGAGGAGGAGCAACCGGGTGCTTGGAAGAAAAGAGCAAAAGAGGGAAAGCAGGGCACCCCCCGAGGAAATGAAGTGGTAGATGCCTCCATCTCCTTTTCGTACGCACCCCGAAGGGGCGCTTTGAATATTTAATATAGGGAGTGTCTCAGTCACGAGCAGCTGCCATGCAGGGAGATGTACTGTGAGACGAAAAGGGATGGGGCGGCCGGCTAGTGGAGGATGTGACTGTTTTAAAAATAGGACGTCACTAAACCCCCTCCCCACCACTGCCACACTCATTCACACCACACTACCCCCCCACCACACACACACATATCTGTATTTAGATGCCTCCTGGTCTCTCATGACTCAGGGATGGGAAGCATTCAGAAATGGGAAAGGAGACGAGGCAGGATTCTGAGCTTCGATTAGATATCCCTAAGCACAGAGCCTGGCACATAGTAGGTGCTTAATAAATGTTTGTTTGGGGCATTGTCCGATTCTACAAGAATAAGATGACTGGTCGCTTTAGTTGCTGGCCAGTTCACAGTAAAGGGGCAATTTGCAAAAAAGAACGAATGCCTATAATGAACTGTAGTGGTTTCAGTTTTCTCAACGGTGAAATGGGGATAATCCTTGCACTAACATGCGAGATGAAGCCTTTATGAACCTAAAAGGCTTGCATAACAATGGCGATGACGATGACAGCTAAGATACTGGGGTAGAGGCCTTGAGTTTGGCAGTCCCCTCCCCTTCCCATCTGATACCAAAGCCTAATGCTGGAATTTCCCTAACAGGAGTGCAGGCCTAACAAAAGACCACAGAATACTGTAAGCACTTAATCACTCAAACGACAAACATTAATTATGTGTTTACTATGTACCACGCACGTGTTCCACCTCCCACACAAGGCCTTGTGTGATCTCTCTCAGTTATCAGCACTCTCTTCCTCTTCAAATTGTAGAGCGGTGGCTAGGGCAGGAGACTGGGAGTCAAAAGACCTGAGTTCAAATCCTGCCCCATACACTTGCTGGATGTGTAACCCTGAGTAAGTCACTTACCTTCCCTCTGCCCATTTGTAAATTGGGGATAATAATAGTACCTACCTTACAGAGTTGTTGAAAGTGCTATATAAATGCTGTCTAATTCTGTATTACTTTATAAATACATTGTATGTACTTACTTGTGTACATGTGATTCGCCCCCCGGAATGTTTGGTCTTTTCATCGTCAGCACCTTCCACCATGCCAGGCATAGAGTAGATGCTTAATACATGACTCTTGACTCTGACTAGCAACCATCAGCCATGATTCCAGAGAACCAAGCCAAAGAATTCTGTCCAACTTCTGATAAAGGAGGGATGGATCCAATACGCAGAACGAAACCCACATTCTTAGACATGGGTTATACTTGACTCTGTATATTTGTTACGAGTTCTGCTTGCTTTTTTCTTTTTCAGTTGGGGAGGGTGGTAGGAGGGAGAGAAAATAAATGCTCGATAATTTTTAAAAATAAAATTGAATTGATGCATTAGAAGCCAACAGTGCAACGAATAGAGGGCTGGGCCTGGAGTGAGGAAGATCTGAGTTCAAATCGCCTCCAGTGATTGCTATCAGTGTGGCCCTGAGCAAGTCCCTTACCCATTATTTGCCTCAGTTTCCTCAACTGTAAAACAGGGATAAATAATAGCACCTACCTCCCAGGATTGCTGTAAGGCTCAAATGAGATAATATTTGTAAAGCACATAACACCAAGCCTGGGACCTAGTAGGCAGTTAATAAATGCTTATTTTCTTCCTTTCATTTGGAACATCACTTATCATTGTGTTATAGCATAGGAGGTGTGGACAATTGTACACACCTCTAGTATAATACATAGTATGTATGTATGGTATGTAGCAATTGTAGTACAATATGTACTAATTATGACATTGCTTATGTTACCTTTTAAAAATAAAATTCCTGATACTAGCTTGTTTACTTGGATTTTGTTTCTTTTTCTCATAAAGGCAAGGTAGCGTGTTTTTAAAACCCTCTGGTTGTTTGGATCCCATATGAATAGGAGGTTTTGTTATCATTGCTGTTGTTTATAGCATTAATCACCTCTACAGGTACTAAGAAACATGACTAGTCCTCTCAGTTCCAAACATCCAAGTGGGACCCTTACTTCTCTCACCAAGTATTTCTATTTCATGATTGAAGTCATTCATCAGGCATGTATTAAGTGCCTGCCATACTCCGGACATCATGCTCAGAGGTGCTGGGGATAGGAGTTAGTGATGAAGAAACAGTCTTCATCCTAGGGAAGCTTACATTCTACTGGGGGAAACAACACATAAAGTACTATGTTAAATGAAATTGTTAAGTTGAAGACACAGGTGGATGTGGTATAGCAGATACGGTGGCCACCTTTAAGGCAGGCAGGCATGGATTCAACTCCCAGCTTCAAAACTTAAGCAATGTGACCCTGAGCAAGGAGAAGGGAGTCAGCTGAAGGCAAATGGATCACAGATGTCGAGCAGAGGCCATTTAACAGATGAAAAAACTAAGGCTCAGAGTCTGACTGACTTGCCCAAAGGCATAACCATGGTGAGTCCCCGAAGTCATATTTGAACCCAAGACTTTCTGGCTCCAGGGACAGTTACTCCTTCTGTTGTACCATTTGGTTCTTTTCAATGACTACGCAGTCATGGGGGCGAATCCTCATGTCTACAAAGGAAAAGGTGAGACAGAAGAACAATAACATATTTCTACAGCACTTTAATCAATTTGGTTCAATGAGAATAGAGTAAGCCCTTGCAAAGCAAGACACTGTGCTCAGTGTGTGGGTACAGTGACAAAAAAGAGGAGCCAGCCCTTGCCCTCACAGAGCTTACATTCTATTGCATGGATACAGGTACACTTAGCAAGTAAGTCCAAAATATATACAAAGAATTTGAAAAGGGAGAGAAGGCTAAACTGATCTTCAAAACCTGTTCCTCAGCCTTTGGGGTGAGTCTTTCTGAGGTCTCTGCCTGTTTATGCGAATGGAGCCATTCCCAGAGGCAGGCTTTCTGGGAAGCTGAGGACTTCCAAGCTGAGGACAGGTAAGCACATCCATTACGCTTTGGAGATTCTGCTGAGACTTACCCAATGCTACCCTGGTGATGAAATGTCCATTAGCAGCCTGCAGGCCACGGTCAAACAACACCTTCCCTTCAGCTTTTCTATCAGGTCCTTTTCATTGTGACATGGAAAGGGCCCAAACATTCAAGACAAGCTCCAATATTTTCTCCATTTTCAGAGCTAAACTTGTTCAGAAATATGATTGAATTTTCTGCATATTACCAAAGAGCAAATTTAAAGAAGAATAGGAAGTCTATTTCTTCGTGATATAAGGTGGGTAGATGCTCTTGTAAGACATTTATGTCGACGTGGGCTGTCTAAATAAGGTTCATGGGAGGCATTGACAGATACGATCTGAGGTCTAGACCATCCCAGAAGAGAGGAAGAAAGCCTGCACAATAGCTGGGGGTGAAGGAAGGTGGGAGAGGAGAGGAAGGCCAGCCCCAAGCACTGCCAGGCTGGGCATTCTTTCCCCAGACTACCAGGAATAGAATTACACCTATCTGCCCACCGAAATATTTCTGGTCTAGGAGTACAATAGACTCAAAAAGCCACTTGAAGCGGAAGGGTACTCCAAGCTTACTGTCCAACTTGGTTCCTTTCCACCAAACACTGGCTGCACAGAAGACCATCATAAATTGTGAATAGCTAGCAAAGCCACTTATTCAAGCAGATAACAAACAGAAGTTTGAAAAGTCACACAGATTAGATCAGAGAGTGGGAAATGATGGCCCTTGGGCCAAATCTGAATCACTGCCTCTTTTTGTACAGCCTGCTAGGTAAGGATTCTTTTTAAAAATCATCTTACCATTCTAAGTTCAGGAGCTATACAAAAACAGGCAGGGAACAAGATTTGGCCCATAGGCCATTGTGAGAAATAATTCATGTGGACCCCTACTCTATCCCAATCAGTATTAATCAGTGTGATATTCTACATAAATCATATAGGGATAGATAGGTTCTTATAGTGGTCCTCAAACTTTAATGTAATGTTCACTACTTGTTTACCAAGTTATGAGGCTCACTTGTGCAATCACAAGCATGCCGACAAAGATTATCTCTGTCCTGTTTTACTCAAATTCCATGTCTTCATGCTTTGGAAAGTCCGCCAATTTATTTTTGTGTCTCCAGACCTCTCTCTCCTGTCCAAGATGAGCAAGTGACCATCTTATGACCCCATGGTCAGTGGAGATGTCCCATGCTTCACCCAACCTGTGACCACCTTGCTAATATGTCATTTTTGGCCCTCAAGAACAAGGTCTATCAACCAATGAGAGTCTGTATTTTAACATGCCTCTTTTGCATATCTGGGCATCAAACCCTATAAAAAAAGGTACTGGAAGAAGAGGGCATCTCAGATCATGAGGAAGATCTGAGGTCCACTTCATTAGAGGGAACCAGGAACCCTTTAATAAAGTGCCATTGGTTCAGAGCTCCATCTCAGTCTCTTTTATTATAGTTTGAACAATTTTAATTCCCATACCATAATTTGCAAACCTCTGGATTAGACTGTATTAGAAAATATACAGAACAAATGAGTTATTTAGATGGGAGGAAAATGAGATCTCAATTCAATCCAGAGGTTCTAATTGTGGTGTCTACATCTCACCCAAAAGGAAATTCCTCAGGGTCTCTAAGGAAGCAATTTGGAAATCATGAGGCACATTAAGGACCCAGATTCTTCTATATGTCTCCATCTTTCAAAGTCTTTCTCTCTTCAAATGTCGAGAGTTGGCCCAGAAGAGAATCTAGAACTAAGAAATATCACTTCTCTCTCAAGCACTCACACCAATGCCATCCTTCATTAAGGCATATGCATAGTATATCAATATTCTCCCTCACAAATATCTTGGTGTGCTTTGAAACCCAGTTGCAGCAATATGAAAATATAATGAAAGTATAACTAAGCAAAACACCACATTAGATCTATGTAACAATGTATGCCTGAGTCCCTCATTAATGGCCTTGGGGCGAAGGCTGGATGAGTGTTATAGAGAAGATTACTTTTCAGGTAGGAGTTGGACCAGATGGCAGCTGGAGTCAATTCTATGTCT